GGGGAGGGCTACAAAGGCAAGAAGTGACTGGCTTACAAGTTTTCAAGAGGGAACCTAGATCCAGAGGGCATGGAGGAAGATAGAGTCTCCAATGAGTAGTATCCAACCTGTCTAGGAAGGGCTGATGAAATGAAATGCAGATGGGTCTCTTGTGATGCAATAGTGAATAATTTTTATCAGGACTGATTGTGAGGAATGGAAATGTAAAGGTGGACATTTTACAGCAAGGAGGGAAGTGATTAACTTTTCAGTCTAGGAGCAGAGGTCCCTGGGATCATCAATGGAGAAGAGTGGAGAGCGAGACCCTACCAAGAGAAGCAATGATGCCTGAGATGGAGGCAGAGATGATGATGCGGAGAGATGGAGTGGCTGGGGACTTGAGATCCAGAGAGGGAAAGGGGCTGTGTGCTGATGACCAGGGGAGGGGGAGTTGGGGAGAGACAGGCTTGCTGGGTATACCCTTTGGTTTGTTGATGATGCATGGACAGGATTGTAACTATGGCAATGAAATGATATATGATAGAATGAATGTAAAACCAATGGTCTCCCATGTAAACTGTCACATAATTCACAATAAAACATTTATTTAAAAAAAAAAAGAAAAGAACATTGAAATGGCTGCTAATTTAGTATAAGCCAACTGCATAAGATGGCCCTTAAAACAATTCTAGACTTTTACATGGTGGAAGTAGAAAGAGATAATTGTCTCATTTTCATCTAGGATGGTCAGACTTTTTCTAGAACACAATGTTGCATATTGATGCACAATTTCAAGAGGGACATTGACATGTTGAGAGTAAACAATTATGAATGTATATCATATAATAAATCTGAGAGTTAGACTTGCTCTGTAGTAGAAAAAAAAGAAGACAAGTGACCCCACTACCCCACTATTTTAATTTCATGATTGTATTACAAGGTCAGAAAAGTTTCCAATACAAGGTGAGAATAAGGAAAAATACGTAAAGTTTCCCTATTAAGTAGAGTTTGAATAAGGTCGTTGTTGAAATTTTTGTGTGTGTGAGGTTTACAGAGTAAATCATCAAAACTTTGTTTCATCTCAGTGATCACAATTCCCTCCATGGAACAATTATCCCACTCCCTCCATGTGGTTCGTATTTCCATTCTACTCTCTTTTCCAACCCCTCTGAACCTTGTCCCCAGGTGAATGTTGACTCTTGATCTAGAACGGTTTTGACCAGTCCAAGTGAGCATCCCTCACTAGTGTTGTTATCCCCTTATATAACTATCTACCGCTTGGTTGAAAATTGGGCCATGAGCTTGAGTTCTGCTCCAGACTTGAAGGGTGTTGAGGGCCTTAGTCTCAGGTTCCTCCAGTCTTTTTCTGATCGGCCTGTTTTTTTCTGTTTTTTTTTTTTAAACTTTGATTTTTGTTCCATATTGCCTCCTACTCTATATGTGACCTTCTAATGTGATCCCTTTCAGAACAATTGGTATTGGTAGCTGGGCACGAGTTCTAGTCGCAGAGTTGTGGAGACTGATGTTCATGTGTTCCATTAGTCCATTGGACTAATTGATTTTATGAATCTTCAATTTTCATAACTCTTCTTTCTTCCATACATGAAGAGACTAATAGTTGCACCTTAGAAAAGCTGCTCCTGAGCTTTTAAGGTTCCAAATGCTACTCAGCAAAGTAGAATATAGAACATTGTTTTTGTGGACTATGTTATGTCAGTTGACCATGGTGTCCCACAAGACTATAGTCCTGAGACCCTGAGCCCTACAACTTGTTACCTCAAAGTGTTTGGTAATATCTAAGAAGTTTTCATCCTTTTGTCCCCTGTATATTCCACCTGGTGTGGTGCTATGGGATAATGCACTGGAACCTCAAGATCAGTTTGAATTGTAAGTCGGTGGTTCAGAATCACCATCTGTTCCTTGGAAACTTTATACATGGTTGCTAGCAGTCTGAACCAACTTGATAGCACTTAACAATAGCAACAACAACATACTCCACCAAATTCATAAGTGTGTTTTGCAGCAAAGGTAAATAACCATGCGTAAAACAAACTCCAATTCCATAAATATTGATATAGTTCATACAAACAAAAGCTCTTTGGAGTCCTAAATTTTTAATAGTATAAAGTGGAGCTGTAGGATAAGCACTGGACCACAAGGTTGGTTTGAACTGCATGGTTGGTGGTTCAAGCTCACCAGCTGCTCCTTGGAAACCCTATAAAGGGTTGCTGTGAGTTGGAAATGACTCAATGGCACTTAACAACAATAACAAAGGGCACTTGAGACCAAATTGTTATAGAGCCTCTGCTGTAATACTATATTTCAATTTAGTTTTAGAAAACATGCATTTATGACTCGTTAGTTAATGATTTAAGTAAGAAATATTTACTGAATTAATAATTCAATGAAAAATTAATACGATTGAAACAGATTTGAGTTTAAGAACTGCAGTGGTTTGTTGTTATTTTGGATTTCTGATTATAGTACATGTTTTTATAGGTAATTATAAAAAATAAAGTCATATTAGCTAAAAGAATTTACCTCAATGAAAAAGGCTGGAGTAAATACGCTAAACATTTCATCATATTGCTGTCAACCAAGGTAAGTCTCGGTTAACTTAAGTTATGGTAACAGAGACTTCTAGGGGTTGAATGTTGAAACAGTCAGATGTCTTTGCTAAATTTATGTATTTAAAACATAGTTTTATATTTGGCTTTATTGTGAATAGAAAGAAAAGTCTAAGGAAAATAAAGCCATTTCCTCTTATCTGACTTCTTTTGTAAATTAATTTAAGCTTAATAGCATTGCATGTATTATAGAGTCACCATTTTATTTATTAGTGCTTAAAATAAAAAGAAATAATATATAAATAACTATGCTTGTTGAAGCAGTTGCATTATTGATTCATTCTATGCAATTTTACGGTAAAATTCGGTGAGCACGTTAGGGAGAAAAGGAGAGAATTTGTATTTGATGTGTTCTTGCTGTAGTCGTTTCATTAAACTCTTACAGTAGTCTTGTTTTATATGTATTATGGTCTTTATTTTAGAAATAATGAAGGTTAAACTCTAATAGATTAAATGGGAGCCTGGTGGCTCCATAAGATAAGAACTGGACTGAAACTGTAAGGTTGCCTGTTCGAGCCCACCAGCAGCACCATGGAAAAAAGAGGAGACTTTCTGGTCCTGCAAACATTTAAAGCCTTGGAAATTCTTTACAGAGTCGCTTTGAGTTGGAACCTACTCGACAGCACATAACAGCAACAACAATAACAGATTAAATATATCCCTTCCCCAAGATTACACAGCTAGTAAATTACTAGGATTCACACCTGAGTCCGCGTGGCTTCACAGTTCCTGTTCTTGACACTGTACCATGCTACCTCCCATAAAAGACTTAGAGGAAAATGGATTTCATGTTGCAAAGGAAAAAAATAATCTTGTCTCTCATGTTTTATGTACCAAGGAAAATTCATTATCAAAGGCACTGTGTGGTGTGTCACTGACAATTTTGAAAGAAGAATCCTGTTATTATTTTGATCCATCTTCTATGGCTGTTTTCAGAATTACAGTATTAAAATAAATACTTGGTGCATATTAACAGTTATTTTGCTAATAAATGAATGTGTTTGATTCCATGCATTTTATCTAGGATACTGCAGACCTTGCACTTTTGCAGAAGTTAACACTGAAATGGAGAAACTTAATGAACAAATTTAAACAGGAGGTGGAACAAAATGAAGAGTCTACAAAGGAGAAACTGCAAACTGTTAAGAATGGCCTTATCAAATGGGAGCAGCTCTTTATAAATAATAAGTGAGTCCCCAGAATCTAGCTGTTTTTTTTGTTTGTTTAAATTATACTGTCATGTTTGTTAGAACTCAGTCTAACTCTTTCTCTTTTTCCTTTTTATCTGCTGCCCTTCATCTGTCTGTCTGTCTTTTTCCTTGTAACTATACTGATTAATTTTGGGGACAATCTTGATAGGGCCTTGAAGCAGACTGTGGTCTCTAGTGATGATTGCCTTTGTAGTCAGTCCATCATGATCCTCCTGCCCAACTAGTCCAACTAATTTTCTTTGCTTTATTTAAAATAAAGTTGATTTGGCAAACTTGAATATCTGGATCCATTTGTTAATTCCATCGCATAGTGCATGCAGAGAGAAGTAGAATCAGTGGGTGACAATTACAGGAAACCTGATTTTGAGTGAATATCATACTTTGTAACAATTAGAAAAAATCTGGCAATGAAAGAGACTCTGTATAGTACATAAGGCTAGATGACGAAATCACAGCCAGGCCAATGGGAATCTACTTTGGATGAAGGCTAGATTCAGTTATTTCTAAGGTTCCTTTACGTTTTAAGATGATTTTTCAGTTGATGAGATACATTCAAGTTTTGTTTTATTTGCTAATAGTGATTTCAAACTTCCATGCCCTCTAAGGGGTTCCAAGAAGCTCTTGTAGCGTAATGGTTGCGAATCAGACTGCAAACCTCAGGGTAAGCAGTTCGAAACTACCAGCAGTTCCATGGGAGAAAGATGAGGCTTTCTGCTCACATAAACATTTATAGCCTCGGAAACCCTATGCAGGGTTGCTGTGATTCGGAACCAACTCCATGGCACACCACCACCACTACCATTAAGAGGTTCCGAGGAGTCCTGCTGTGGCACTGTGGGTTTATGTGCCAGACTGCAAAGTCGTTTGAACTGCAAGGTCAGTGGTTCAAGCTCACCAGCCACTCCTCGGAAACCCTATATAGTTTTGCTATAGGTTGGAACCAACTTGATGGCACTTTACAACAACAAGAGGTTCCAGGAGTCCTACTGTGGTGCTGTGGGTTAATGCACTGGACTTCAAAATTGGTTCGAGTTGCAAGGTCAGCGGTTCAGGCTCACCAGTTCCTCAGAAACCCTATACAGGGTCACTATGGGTCAAAACCGATTTGACAGTATATAACAACAACAACAAGAGATTCCCCACTGAGTAGATCTGGAAGTTCTGGAAGATAAAACTTACCCATGTCCATGCAAGCTGTTTATTGCTGCCATGTACCCATTTCTACTGGGAGGGAAGCACAGGTGGGAGTGGCTCTCTCTTCTTTCTCTCTGCAGAAACTTCTCTCACAATATCTCTTTCCTTTTGAGACTTAAGAGAAATTAAACTATGTCTTATTAGAATTTGAAGCTACTGACCTAAATCCTGAGTATTCATTACTTACTAGGCTCCCTTTCTATTTGCGTGCTGTTTTGGCAGTAGCATTCAACAGGAGTATTTTTATGATCTAGTTTTGAACACCAAATGCTCAAATGACCCTATTAGGACTGTCATGGCCCTTGGCTCTGTAGCTTGTTTGTTCAGATCTAATTAGGGTCTAAGTTTATATTTTAGATTTGAGGATGAATACTCATGGAGAATGCCCTTGAAAATCATAAGAGGGGAGGGATATAATATTGCTATATAGTGCATAGACTTCTGATTTTCTTTGTTTATAATTTGTTCTTTCAGTAGAAAAGGTGTACTTCATTTTCAGGGAGATGTATTGGATACAATTTATGCAGAATTTCAGCAATGGATAAAGGTAAGACTTTCTAATAAAGGACTTGGTAATAACTGGGATGCACACCAGTGATCATCAGGGTTGTGCAGAGCATTATGCATAGGTTGCTTGAGCTGCAGCCAATTCAACAACTAACAATGAAAAACTTGCCACTTGTCACCTGCCGCTAAGTCATAACTTTATCCTTTAAAAATGCCATATGAGTTTATGAAAGCAAAGGAGAACAAGAAGACCACAGGGACTTTAAAATATATACTTGAAGTATTTTTGGTTCTGTTTCAGATTTGGGGGTCAAGTAAAGTTATGCTGCCAGATAAAAATAGAGAAAAGAGTGTTGGGTGGCAGTGAGGGGAGCTCTGACATTTATGCTAGAGACAAATTGGACATCTCTTTAAAAAAGAGTTTGAGCTTTTAAAATCAATTTCATTTATCAAATTACTATCATGATATAGTAGTCTGACAAAGGATAATGTATGAGACATTGAAATATCTCCAAAGTTAATATCAAACTCATGCTCTGATGACATCTCATCTGCCTTCCAGGAAGTCATTTTCTTTTATCTTGAAATGACAACAGTAAAATATTCTCAGAATTGAAGGTGTTTGTTGTCCTATATGAGGAGCTCTGGTGGCACTGTAGGATAAGCACTGGACTG